ATCCTTTCTTGGCCGCCTAGTGCCAGAGAGTTTATAATTGAGTTGAGACTTTGGAAATGCTCATTAAGACATTGTCAGTCGCTAGAGGAGGCCACGCTCAATGTGTTGAGACACCACTGAGACTGCAGCTCTCCCCGAGCCTCGCTCCGCTCCAGCTGGAGGGCAGAAGTATACGTCTGCGCTCAGGTGTTCATGTGTGAGTGTGCTTCAGAGCTGACAGGTGTGCACTCGTGTGTGATTGTGTGCATGAAGTTTAATAAACTCACAGGTCTGTGGAGCACCATCTGTTTGCACCGGTGTTTGATTGCGGAGGAGCTTGTTGTGAGGCACACCCTTATCACTCAGCATGTGTGACTAACTGGTGATAGAAGCACCTGTTTACTGTCTCCCACTTTGTCTTTGTCTCCCTCTCCGTTTGGAGAGCTGCTTTAAATCTAAATCCCGTGTAGTGATTTTACTGTAAACCAGAAAAGCACAAATACAAAACTAAATACTAAATTATACATACATATACAGTATATTATATAGTTTGTATTAACAAAGATTGTCATTGTTTGATATTACAATTAACTGGTGGAGAGCAAATACAATTTTTACACCTCTGATATCTAAAATAATTGATATATATGTTTAGTTTTCATAACACTAGTGAAATGGCATCATAGATCACAGAGGGTCTTATCCTTCGGAGGACGTCATTTAAATTTGGTTCAGTATGTCCGTCCATCAATTATTTAATCACCCAACTCAATAATCTCAACCTCAGATTAAACTGTTGGAGCAATAACTGTGATCAGCAGGTGAATTGCACACACACACACACACCCACACACCCTGGAACTGACAGTTGCTGGGTCACAGCTCTCATCATCTCCAGCACAATAACCTGATTGGCTGTCCACGAATCTGAGAACCTGTGATAAGAAGAGATGTTAAATATGACACACAAAATCTATTAGTTTGGGGGGGAAACCAGGGAATCACAAATGTATTCAGATGTATAGATATACATATATATATATTTTTTTTACCAGATGTAAAGTAAAATCTATCATAATGAAGCCTACACCAAAAATTGTATTATTGATGTCCTCCTGAATCTACGTGATACTTAAAAGATGACAGAATGTCCTTTGATGAATCCCTGTGATTATCTCTCCATAAAGTCATTTTTGGGCAATTTATTTTGTTTTGCTTTTCCTCTCTGTCTTCGGTTTTCATTCTGAAGAGCACTTGGCAGCATTATTTGTTATGTCTGTCTGTCATAGTAGGATTTCCAGGGTGTGAATTGTGATCCTTTGTGTTTTGCATGACGACACCACAAGAGAAGGGCTGTACATGCAGTCCGAGGGGAATCTACAATGCAGAAGAGAGCTCATGCAGCATTTTTTAGTGAGACAGATGGATGAAGTTTACCAAGCATATGACAGCTAACGCCCCCAGAAGGGCAAAAAAATCCCAACAAAACTGCAGCCCTTAAATAAATGTTGGCTGTACCACTCCCACTCCGCTATTATTTGTTCACTGAAGTTAACATTTCTATTAGAGGTGAATTATGCAAACAAATTAGTATTGCTGCTATGATCATTATAAATGCCATCCCCTCGCTCTATGTAAGAGCCACATTTTCCCAACTCTATCATAGATTATGGATGCTGGCAGACTAGAGAATGGATCGAATATCTAATGTAGCTCTTTGCACTCCAGTTAAATCATATCCATTGCTTGTAATGAAAAACATGATCTTAAATCTAAAAACATTTTGTTTTATGGTGACCTTTACTGTTAAATGAGTAATAAGTAGACATTTGCTTTAAAATTAACCCAAATGACTATTATTTTTCACTCTTAATGGAAGTAACTTTCTGCATAAACAATCGTCTTCTCCATCAATTACATCTTTAAAAGTGTGCTGGACTACTTTTTAGCCCATCAGCATATAAGAATATGCTGGGTTAATAAAACAGAGTGCAGTATGAGCAGCAGCCTACAAACATGGAGGCCAGCAAGAGAAGCGGACCAGAAATAGTCTCAATAACACCTAAGAAGTCTCAGCATACCGGTACTTAAAAAGATTTGCCCTACCTGCTGTGGGTGAATCATCTTCACTTGTCATTTTAAATTTAGCTTATACCCGGCTCTCTTAACCTTCATGGCACTCTCTGAATCATAGTACATGCTTACTAAAGAAATATGACTGTTATGAAAGGATGGCAGGAAAAGAATCACTGCTTACAGTTTGATTCTGTAAGACTGAACTTTTTTGGTTTTCTTGCAAAACAACATGTATTGTGCAAAACTTCTACCCTTACTAAATACCACTCATAATGAAACATAGTGAGGCAGCTTTGTGTTGCATATATACTTGTTCTGCTGAAATGATAGGAAAGCTTAAGTTGATTCAGTGCTGTAGTCTAAATTTATTTTCAGAATCCCACATCCACTGGCTCTACTATCTCAGCCTAAAATAACATCACTATATGTCAAACATATTCGATGTAAAATTTTACATTCATGGAGGACCTTTCAAATGTCAGCTTAAACACATGATGCTTGCAGAATTCCTCCCTTTTGTTGTTTTTTTCCCCCATTGACCGACCATATCTGCTCCAAATAGTTTATACAAGTCAGGCTTAAATTGCTGGAGCGAAAAAAGTTGGTTTTAACATTTTCATATTTCATGGATAGGTTGTGCGTTTTTTTGTGTGTTTTTTTTTACATATTCCTATATAGTTTACTTTTGGTTTGAAATTTCAAAATGTTTCCAAGATATGAACTTTGAAAACACTTTAAAAATTGTAAAATGATTAAATGTGGTTTATTTAACATAAGATCTCTTTCTTCAAAAAGTCTGCTAGTTTATGACTTGATTTGTGATAATCACATTGATTTATGTTGCTTTACAGAAACCTGGCTGCAGCTAGAGGACTATGTGAGCATAAATGAGGCAACTCCTATTTATTGGAACTTTCATATACCCAGAAATTATGGGCAAGGAGGGGGAGTAGCAACAATCTTTCAGTCTGACATACTGAAACAGGATCATCATAGTTGGGGATTTTAAAATCCATGCTGAAATTAAAGCTGATGGCTTAAGTGGAGCCTTTAATGCTATCTAAGACACTATTGGCTTTGTTCAAAATGTGAAGAGTCCCACACATGCTCATCTTTATACTTTGGACCTTGTGCTGACATATGGCATAGAATGTGTAAAAATAACAGTATTTCCTCACATCCCTGTCCTTTCTGACCACTTTTTAAAAACCTTCAGGAATACTTGAATAGAGTTCTCTTCCTCCAAAAGAAGACACTTTAGCAGATCATTATCAGATAGTGCAGTTATACATTTTAAAGAATCTGTTTCACTTTCTCCTCTGTGTCGCTAAGCAGTGCTGCAGAGTGGAAACGTTTAGTTTATCCCCCTTCACAGGTTGATGATTTTTGTTTATAGGGTTTCTAGTTCTCTGCGTGCTGCCTTAGACAATGCAGCCCCTTTGAAAAAGAAGAAGTTTAAAAATAGAAAGCTGGCTCCCTTGCTAAATGCAGAGCTGCGCACTCTGAGGCAAAATGCTAGCTCGGAGCTAGTCTGCCTGCCTGTGTGTTTCCTGGACGGGCCTGCCCATTACAGTGTGAGGGATTTCCTTTGAGTCAATGAGCTGATGCTATCAACTGGTTTTTCAAAGATTGAAAGCTTTGAATCAATTTGACTCTATGATCAGGTGAACTATAAAGTGATTTAAGAGGACATGTGTTGTGAATTGGTGCTATATAAATAAATTGAAGTGAATTGAGATTTGCAAAAATGACAGCAGCATGTTTTTTAACCGACTACAGTAGAAACTGCAAATCAGCATGAATGTAACAACTTATTGAGGTTGTTGGGAGCAGTGGTGGTTATAGAGTCTTACAGTTGTTGGGAGGAAGGATCTGTGATAACGCTCCCTGGTGCATTTAGGGTGCAGCAGTCTGTCACTGAAGGAACATTCCAATTCAGCAACAGCTTCATGCTTGGGGTTGGAGACATTGTCCAACGGATATGTTAATTTAGGTAGGATCCTTTTGTTTCCCTCCTCCTGCACTGAGTCCAGAGGGCATCCAATTATACAGCTGTTCTTCCTGATTAACTTATCCAGCCGCTTTCTCTACAGCTACAGATAAGCCATTGCTCCATAGAAGATGGCTGATGCCACAACAGATTCATAGATCTTCAAGAGCGCCACCTGAACTCCAAAAATCCTCAGTTTCCTAAGCAGGAAGAGTCTGCTCTGACCTTTCTTGTAGAGAGCCTCAGTCTTGTGCGTCCAGTCCAGGTTGTTATTCAGATGATAGTGGACTCCTATAAGGTAAATATAGGAGTCCAATATCTAAATGTCCGTTCCCTGGATGTTCAACAGTGGGGTGGATCTGCCTCTGCGAAAGTCCACCACTAGCTCCTTGGTTTTGTATTTGTATTTGATATTAAATTTTACAAAAAATAAAAGCCCAACAATGCTAAGAGCATGCCAATATATTTATTTAGGATATTTTGAGGAATATGTGTTTTTACAACCTTTCATAAAAATAAAGTGTGAAAAACAAAGTTTTATTCCTTGACATCTGCTAGCTCTAGAGCACTGTGAAGGGTTTGAATTAAAAATGGCTCTGAGGTTAAATGGAAGAGTGCAGTTATGATTCAGTTGTGCATAGTCTAATTTTCCTGTTTAAACCTATTATCTGTTTTTACATGTATGCATTTTATGTTATGATCCCGACTTTGCCTTACAAACATGGTAAACCCAAATATTTCTTATCTTGATGTGTGTGGCATTTAATCACCTTTTCCGATATATTCATAAAGAGTTTGTAAAGAAAAATTCTAACATCAGGTATTCTTCCCACATATTTATACAAAATGGGTTTGCTTTTAATCTGGTCCTCTTTGCACTGTAGTTTTCTTTGCATCTTTCTGGGTCCTTTTTTTCCATCTTTTTAAGCCTTCCTCTCTGTTGTGTTTTCTTCAGACTCTCCCAACAACAACATATGAATTAGAGATCGTGGCCAAGGACATGGCAGGAAGTGAGGTGGGCCTTACAGGAACAGCCACGGCTACCATCACCATCACAGACAAGAACGACCATGCCCCAGAGTTCACACATCCACTGGTAAAAACACTGTTTAATAAACCTATTTTGAATGTTGTTCTCCTTACTCCTGCCAATCAAATGCAGCTTCTGTAGATATTGGAGGAAATCTGAGTTTGTTTTCCCCTCTGGGGAGGAAAAAGGATAGAGTTAAAATAACTACTGCATTTGTTTAAGGACTTGGGATAAATAAACAGAACAAAAGCATAATATCAGTACCCTCTGGTAATAAGCTCTTGTAAATTGATTGGAGTACTTTGACATACATGGTTAAATGAAACAGGACAAAACTTTTCTAAGTGAGGAGCATGGAGACAGTTTGTAGTTCATTTGTTTTATAATAACATGACTGAAAAGAAGAGAAAAAAAGATGATAAAAGTTAATATTGATTTAAAATAATATTTCATAGGGTTCTAAGGTTTTTATTGACTTAATTTGATCCTTTGAATCAGATTCTAGTATGATTGGTCTTACACTTCTTGATCAGACTTTCTCATCATTGTTCTTCTGTCTGGTACCCTCACAGTGTTGGACTGAAAGATCAAGTCATTATGTTTTGTTCAGTCAGCAAAGCTTAAAGAAAGAAATGCTAACAAGCTAAACTAAGTCATCCCAAGGCAAAGTGTGTAGTATAACTTGTTTTAAGTGGCTTCAATCGCCAATTTGTGCCACCACTTACAAAATTTGTCAAAGGTTGCCACTTTTTCCTTTTTTTGTTCCTCTTAATGCTTCTTTTTAATGCTGGTTGTGTGAAACCAAAGACAGAATTAGACCTGGTAGCCAAAGACCCCTCAGCACCCTAAGGTGTAGTTGTAACACTTGAGTTGTGTGTTTTTTAATGGAAATGCCCACAGCTGTTGTCAAGTTCCAAGACACATGGCACTTTGCCCCAACCAACCCTCCCCTACAGCCCTCCTATGATGCATTGAGGTGTCAAGGGAGCTTGTAAGGAGTGCAGCTCAGATGTAAAATGTTACAGCTCAGAGGGCTCGGCAGGGCCTTGTAGAGTGCACCATGTCCATGTCTGTGTTAATGTTCTCATTTCTCATTGGGGATAGACCCATTGAACGGCATGGAGAAATGGAGCTTTTATAAAACAAGTGTTTGAAGACGTTAAGCTCCTGAATAAATCCTCCGTCCTCCACTGTCCCTGACTGCCTTTAGCCTCCCCATGAATCTTCTTTGACCTCTCAGACACCTGTCATCTTACTGTAGGTCTGCTTTTTAGTGTATAACGTCCATCATGCTTTTTTTTTTTTTTTTTTTTTTACAAATTAATAAAAAAATAAAATTTTCCTGTCATGAAAAGCTGTAATCTGGCCACATTCAGGTTGCAGTATCCACCACCTCTAGAGTGTATTTCACTTTCTTCGTACTGAGGATAAGTCAAACAGATGTTGGAGGTAGAGAATCTATAAAGTCCTGCATTAAAAAAAAAAAAAAAAAAAAAAAAAAAAAAAACTTCAGTTACATAATTCCTTATTCAGGTACATTATTGTTGAATCCCAAAAAGAAATGTCAAATTATCAGCTTGAATAGCTTTCAATTAATTATTCAATTATAACAGAGTTGCAAAAAGCTAGAAGTTAAACTTTAAAAGACTGTGGTCAGCTGTTCTTAACAGAGCAAGTTTATTGGTAGTTTTATACAGGTTTCTTAAATCACCAAAAGCTTTTAGTATGTTATGTTTTCATTAAGAATTATCCTCCAAAAAATTAATATTATTTTAAGTAAACCTCATTTGATTTGGAAATTAACTCAATTCCAGTAAAATCCTATTTTAATGCTTATGTAAGGAATGGAGTCACCCATTTTTTCGCATAAGGGATTCATTATCTAACTTGTTTGTTGAAGTGGATTTCAGGCCAAAACAGTAGTGACAAAGGTCAGAGTACTTTCTAGAAATTAAATATGGATTTTTTTATTATTATTATCTTTTTTGGTGACTTATTTTGCTGATTTAAAAGGCATATTCTGCTGCTATCAATCCTCTTGCTAGCAGTAGCTAGAGAGCATGACACAAGACAGATTCCCCTTTATTAAGGAATGCTGTCATGTATTAATATCATTTAATTTGGTGTCTATATCTTATTACTTGGCCCTCAGTTGGTTTTATTCTTATAAGCCCCCTATTGGATCCAATGTCTGCTTTGTATTTAAAGCTTAGGTGGCTTTTCCTCCTGGAAATAATATTCATATTTACTGGGGAGGCTTCTGCTATGGCTCCATTTTCTTTCTAGTGAGGTTTTAACAAGGATTTTATCACCAAGGTGTCAGAAAAAAGAGTTATGTATTGTATTTGAAGTTATAAAAACATCTGTCTTAGAAGCCATTTCCTATTTATCTTTGCTTTTTGCCTCCAGTTTTAGATGCAGTGTTTCTGTAATTTTCTTTCTTCAGAGAGAATCAGGAAATAAGTAGATGTTGTTCCTCCTGATTCAGAATCAGAGCACAGATGTAGAAACTCCAGCACCTTTTCACCTTCACACATTTCAGCTCATTTCATTCCTCCTCATCCACCAATATCCTGATCCCCACTTGGGTCTCGTCCTCAGCTCTGCACAGCTCGTCTCATCTTCTCTCCTTCCCGGCTCTGCTAATTCTGCACCATGTCTGACTGGGCTTATATGCTATTTTTCTCCTGCTCCTCATAACAAGACCATGATGGACCTTATCGCTGCTGTCACTCAAACTCCCGGGCTTCTCAGTCACTGTATTATTTTTTCCCCCACCCGGGTTTTCTCAGTATTATCTTTCCATGTTTCTGTCGGTATTTCTCTCTCAGTTTTTCCAACACTCTCTCTTCGATGATGACCAGGGTAAATGCATAGCTGCGATCCATCTGTCCTGCAGGTAGAGATTTGTGTTGATGGGTGTTGTAACAGCCATACGGTACTAGGCCCTGTCAGTCTGTCTTGAGGGATAGCTTATGGGTGTTACGGATTAGTCCAGGATTGCGACTTTCTGCCCTTAGTGATATCCTCCTGCAGCTGGTCAAATATGTTGTACAAAAAATACAGGATAAGGAAATGTTTCATAGGCTTAATATCAGACTACGGGTAACAGAAAAAAGACATTTGCACAAATTTGATTTTGTCTTTTTTTAAGCTGGCACTGACCAAGAACAACCCATTTTAAGGAAAACATTTCTGATTTAATCTAATGGTCATCTTTCAGTATCAATCCAAATGAATGTACCTAATTAATCATATTTACCCATACTTGAAGCTTTATTTAATCTTGTTCAGTTATCCATCATCCATAATTAGATATGTGTACACTTTCATCATTTCATTGCAAGCCACTGTGTAGCATAAAAAGGTTACCCTTGAAGGGTATCAGCAGCTAATCTGTTTCAGTTGAAGGAAAGCGCATTGCCTCTAGCTGCTTCAGTCTCTCTATAAATCCTGTTGAGCTCCAGGAAAGACTTGCAAACAGCCTGTTTGCTGTGTACATCCAAAGAGTCTGAGTGAAGAGTTTGAATGTTTAAACTACTGTATGTCTACACTTACGACCAGCATGGTTCATTCAAAAGGAGTTTCTAATATTAGATGCCTAGTCTACACATGCTTGTTTAAACTTGCATACAGCATATCATCACCTTGATTGTGCTTGCAGATCATTATATTTTAGTAAAGGTATTTCTAGTTTTACAGTAGGGGACTACATCTTTCAAAAGTCTAGAGTGAATCTAAACAGAGGAAATATATATTAACACATTCCACATGAGTTATAATCAGAGGTGTGGTGAAAATTTTAATCATGCAGATTTAGACACATGCATGTTGCAGGCATGTGAAGTGAGACAGCAGCTGTGATTGGATGCAGGCTTTGATTCTTGTTAATGCAAATGTTTTTAAGTGGATCATGGATATACAGTATAATCTAAGTAGATTGAAGGCATGTCTGCAGTGGAACTACCGGTAGTTCCATTTCCTCGGCAGTAACTCCTAAACATTGGAAGGAAAACAGCAGACAGTGACAACGTAATGGATGATGGTCTTTAGAATTTGTACTTCCAGCCATTCTTATGAGCACCATAACAGCCACACGTTTAACACAAAGCCAGATTTCCTGGTTGAAACTATTTATTAGCTGAAAAAGTCTTTCCTTACAATCATTTTGGTCTCCTCTGACCTCAGCCAGACATTTTACTCCAAACAGCTGCTTTTAAATGGATATTCTTCCTTCTTTAGGAAATAGTCAGGAATGCCGAACTGTGATTGAGGGTTCAAATCCCTGTAGATCAATCAATCAGTCAGTCAACCAATCAATTAATTAATAAAGACACAATTAATCAGTCAATAAAGTCAATAAAAAATCAATCAATCAAAAGCTCCAAAGGGGGCACTTGTTGGCCAGCACATTAATTACAGAGCAGTCAGACGGGCAAAACGCTGTGCAACATATGTATTGGACAAAAAAATCTTTCTTTAAATTATATATTTCATGAAGGTCATTAATAAAAAGTAAATAACTGTGGGAACAAAATATTTCCAGACTTGATAAGAAAAATACTGGCATCTGCAAGGTAGCCAGTGATTGTGTTGCACCAGTATTTGCTTTACTGTTAGCATTGACCAAGACTAAGTTAGGGCCCAAAAGTTTGTTCCATCCATTTTTTGCATGATTTAATGCTATTCTGAAGTCTATTGTTGTACTTTAAAGTTAAAGCTGAAAACCAACAGACAATAATAAAAGAGGAAGACAAAGAAGAGACTCAATAATTGTAACATACAGATAAAAGGGGAATTTACGTTAACAAAACCAAGCTTTTGATAAAAAACATTTTCTGGTTAGCCTCTTTGCATACCAAGTCCAGATGTCATCAATTGCTTTTTGCAGGTACTTGTAATTGTTTGTAACCTAAACCTTTATATTAGAACTAAGAGTTACCTCATCACCTCTTCAATAAATACATAGAGTTGCTGCCATTCAGTAGGCTAATTAGATATTTGTATTAAAAAAAACAAGTGAACCATAATAAAATAACCACATTTTTTGTTCTTCTTCTTTAGTA